AAACAGAAAGTAAAAAGACATGTTGATTTAACGTTGATTATATCAACGTTAGTTTATTACCAATACATCAACGTGGAATAAGCGTTGAAAATGCCGACGTTGAAATTTCCGTTGAAAAACGTTGAAAGTTCAGACGTTGAAACAACGCCATTTTCTTTAACGTTAGTTTATCAACTATAAATCAACGTGGAATAGACGTTGAAATTTCCGACGTTGACATTTCAACAATGCGCAGACGTTGATAAGACGTCGTTTGCTTGCTGGGTTGCTATTTTCTAAACATACCTCTACTTAAGTTAATAGGGCAATGCAGATGCTATTTCTAATAAAAAGATCTTTCTCTTATCTAAATTCATTTTGTTTTAAAAGACTGTTTTCAGCACTAGTACGACCATATTTAGAATATTGTGGTTCTGTATATAACCCTCGTCTACTGAAAGACAAACGACAAGTTGAAAATATACTCAGAAGAGCATCTAAATCAGTTCATGGATTAAAAAGTCTAACATATCACCAAAGACTATTGAAACTTAATATGACAACCATAAGATACAGACTAATCCGGGCTGATTTAATAAACGTCTATAAATGGCTAAACAACTACTACAACTGTCAAACGATCTTTCCAAAAACAATTATAAATTCTATTACAAGAGGACATTCATTTAAACTAGAAAAACCTTATTCTCATCTAGCTTCTCGTCAATACTTTTTCACCTTACGAGTAATCAACAAATGGAACTCCCTCCCAGATGACGTTGTAAATGCTACTTCCGTAAGCAATTTTTAAAACAAACTCGACAATTATCTAAAAGAAGAAAAAACAATTTATGACTAGTATATTTATATAGTAATCATAAGACAGGTTGACAGGCATTTCATGCCTATACAAATCCAATTTGTAAACCTTAATAATAATAATAATGGATGCAGTTGTTTTAGTCACGCGTGTTGGCTTGTTAATTATGTGAAAAAGGCTGTATTGCAAAAGTGTATTTATAAAACGCGCAACGTGGTTATCCGTTTTACTATTCAGAAAATTTTCCCTGACCAGCTAAAGCTAGCAAAAGTTGTTCCTATATTTAAAAGCGGAGACGATTCGATTGCTTCTAACTACAGGCCTATTTCTATTTTGCCATGCATTTCAAAAATATTAGAGCGCATAATGCACAATAGGCTAAACAATTATCTAGTAAACCACCACCTACTAAATAACAACCAATATGGCTTTCAAAAACACCATTCAACAGAACACGCTGTAGCCAAACTTGTCAATGAAATTTTAAATGGGTTTGACAACAATAAATACACTCTTGGGGTATTCCTCGATCTCTCAAAAGCGTTTGACACTGTTGACCACAAAATTCTTCTTTATAAACTATATAATTATGGAATAAGAAATAACAATTTAAAATGGTTTCGCTCTTACCTTAATAATCGGAAACAAGCTTTATCATATAACAACACTGTAACACGACTTGAAGACATTACTTGTGGGGTTCCACAAGGATCAATTCTTGGTCCATTATTATTCCTCGTTTATATTAACGATATCTACTTATCTTCTAACATACTTAACTTTGTCCTTTTTGCCGATGATACGCAAGTGTTCTTTAGCCACACAAACATTAGCCTATTATTTAACACTGTTAATCAAGAACTTGAAAACCTGAACGAATGGTTTAAGGCTAACAAACTCTCCTTAAATGTCGAAAAAAGTAAATATATTCTTTTTACAAAATTATCAAAATCTGAAACCCTCCCCTTAAAACTACCTGATTTACTAATTGATAAAACTAAACTTAAACGAGAATACTCAATCAAATTTTTAGGCGTAATTCTTAATGAACATCTTAGCTGGAGTAACCATATCAAAGTAATAGAAAATAAGATATCAAAAATTATTGGTATTATGTATAAAACAAAACATCTCCTAAACACAAATTGTTTGAAAAATATTTATTTTGCATTTATTCATAGCTACATCAGCTACTGCAACATTATCTGGGCAAGTACTTATCCTTCAAAGTTAAATATGATCTACAAAATACAAAAACGAGCAATTCGCTTGATATTAAATGCAAATAAATACGCTAGTGCCAAACCACTACTAAGAGAAATTGGAGTGCCTAATGTCTATGAAATAAATATTCTTAATATACTTATTTTCATGTTTAAATTTAAAAATGGTATGCTACCAAGCATTTTCCAAACTTATTTTTTTTCTTTAAACCACAAATACGAAACTAAATACTCAACAAATAATTTTATTATACCAAAAACATTATCAAAACAAGCTGATTTTTCGATATCTTGCCGAGGGCCGCGGTTATGGAACTTGCTTTTAACAAACAATATAAAAACTTTAAATTCAACTCAACATTTTAAACGTGCAACAAAACAACACTTATTTGGTTTTGACACAAAGCAATTACTATCGTATTATTAAAAACTTTTGGTAATCTTAGTTATTTAATGTCTTATAAATTGACTCAACATCACAATTATATTGTATGGTGCTTAGTACATGTATGATATTATTTTATTTTACAATACGTAATTTGTAAATGAAATATTTATTATATCTTACGCAATTTGTAGATGGAATGTAATACAGATTTATTTGATTTGTATGTATATATGAACGGACATATATTTGTGTGAACGTGTGCGTATGTGTGTGTGTATGTGTGTGTGTATGTGTGCGTATGTGTGTGTGCGTACGTGTATAATAAAAATTAAAGTCGAATAAAATAGAGAATTAAAAAATAATAATAATAATAACGAGAAGAAATAATTTATATTTTTTATTTTTTATTTTTTTCTCTTTCTGTAAATAATAATTTGATTTTTAAGTTCTTTTCTTCTTAAAATCAGTTCTTGCTTTAGTTTCTTTTTTCCTTTTTCATTTTTATCGGCTGAATTTTTTAGTTATATTAACGGGGCTGGATGATAAGATCATGTCTTCTGCCAGCTCCGGTCGAAACTTTAATGTTATAATTTTTATGTTGTAAAAAAACATTGTAAAAGATTATTCATTTAATGACGAAATAAAAAAAAAAAAAAAAAAAAAATTCAAATTAAAATCACCCAATAAATACACGTGTTTTTTAATGAGCTTTGGTAGCAAGTAATTTAGGTGGTTTTCAAACTGATAGTAATTACCATTAGGCGGTCTATATAATGCTGTTATAAATGTATTTTTATTTGTTTTATTAATTATTTCAATAGTAAATAACTCACAATCAGCGTCATTTACTTTGAGGTTATCTAAACGCTTCAGGGGCGGATCTAGGATTTTATATAGGTGTAGCTTAAATTTGTAAAATTACGTCATAATTGGAACTATTTAATTAGTCGGTTAGTCTACGTCAAAAAGACGTTCGATAATTACGTCATGTAGACGCCGCCAGACAGTTTTTTTATCTGAGCGTCTTTAATTCACTTTTTGGACAATTATTTTTCATTTATTTTTAATGGATTCTAGTAAAATAATTAATGGTAAAATTTTTAATATTTGCCTTGGCTATTCTGTTCGTAATTTAGACATAATGTCTAACTTACTTAACGAAGTGCACCAATTAAAAGGTAAGCCATAGGACTTTGCACTCCATATGTAAGTTGTAACGCTGCTTTTAGTTAGCTCTTCAATTCTGGATTCTTTCCTTTATATTTTTGTTACTAATAGAATAAATGCAACTATTACTGCATTTTTTTCAATCAATCAATCAATATATATTTCATAATGAACAAAAAAGAAAAGAAAATTTTACAATGTCCCAGTAAGCACAGGACGTTTTTAAAACGTTTTAATTCCGTTAAACTTACGGTCGTACGTTAAAAAAACCAATGCAATCGTTTTTAAAACGTTTTTTTGCAAACGTTTTTTTTAATGTTAATTTAAACGTTTTTATAGCGTTTTTTTAAACGTTTTATTTTTTTTATTAACTTACGAAATTTCTCAGTTAGCTTATAAACGTTTTTAAAACGATTTTTTAACGTGATATTTTAAACGTACAGCACGGCAATATTTAAAAGAGTATGTTTACGCAAATAATGGCGTGACCTTCGATTAGGCGAATTAATTTATTTAAATAAAAATTATATAAATTAGTATATATTTAAATCAACCAAGTGTTTGTATTCTTTTCTTGTAGAATTAAATTTGAAAATATATTAGAGTATTTTTAGTTTAAAGTTGTATGCCTTCGTTGAAACTAGGTTGTGTTTGTATTTCTATTTGAATCAAGTAGATATGATTAAGAAAGTTTTAATGGTGTGGTTAGCTAGATTATTTTACTCTATTAAATAACTTAATTGTTGAGTAAACTTGAATGCTTAAAAAAACTAGATTAAGTTTTCAATTCTACTTAATTATCAACTGCTTTTAACGCAAAAAAATTATTTGGATTTGAGAAAAGGGAACAACATTCTCAGAGTTTTTCTTCTTTAACTCTAAAAATTAAAAATAATAATATCAGTGGTTTTTATAAAGGAATTACTATAGTTAAAAAAGGCTGAAAGGAAAAAATATGATGATTTGTTCCAAGAAAGAAAGTGACTTACTTCAAAATGTCATTAAAAATTTTTATTCTTTAATGATATTCTGGTGTTATTACCAAATGTTTAGCAGTATGAAACCTATAATATTATATACCATACTATATACCCTATTTTACTTATAAAGTTAATAATCTGTAAAGTAATTTGTAAAAATTTTTTAATTGTAAAATTGCTACATAAGAAGACAAGTTGTTAGATGAAATTCAAATATTTTCTACGTTTGTGTTGTGTAGGTCAAAAAATAATAAACAAAGATGACCAAGAGATTCATTTTAAGACACATCATTCTACATCATCTTTAAATAAAAAGGATAAACATTATGGATTTCCATTATCTCAAGCAAGTAAGTCTTTAGTTAAATATAATAATGTAATGTTTGTAGTAAAATGCTAACATGACTGTCAATATTAAAAAACATCATTAAAATGATGAGGTT